TTACTATTAAATCAAGCCATGCCCTTCATTTTTGTCCTGGAAGCTTACAATTAAAGAACATGGTTATTTCATGTTTTTGAATATGTGTGTTGTCACAGGTACATTGAGAGAGGTATATGGAGAGTGCTGAAAACAACAAGAAGGGTAAAATACTACAGTGAGTGTTCAAATCTCAAATCATAGTTTTCAACATAATATCTCTATGAAAAAGACGATTGACGTGCCACAAAAATAAACCCTAAAAAGCACAGTCACTATTTTGTTGTTTGTTTCGACAGATGAGACGCAGTCATGTGACAGAATGTAGAAGCAGCTATCTACAGCAATCAAGACAAAGTCACATACTATGTTTCTGCAGATGAAGGTATATCCTGATCAACAGTAATTATGTGAGTGGTTTTACTGTGCAATTAAATGGTTGTTGGTTTTAGATTATCTTAACCCAGATGCAATCGGGGAAGAGGAAGTGGCAGAGCCACAGGAACATTACAACACCCTACAACTGCCTAGCAATTTGACAGAGACGGGTGAGTGATAATACAATACTTTATATACATTTTTATATATAAACTATTACATTCAGTACACTGCAAAGCTTAGTTGAATTTTAGTTAGATTTGTAAGTATTTTTTATTATTATTTTTAAATATTGCTATTTAGGTTTAATTCATACTTTTATTCAACATAAGTTTAATTTTTTAACTTTTTCATTTAATGCTTCAACTGACATTTCTTATTTTCTTTTCGTTTAGGTTTTTCATCCAATATTTCTATATTTATTGGATTTATTTCAATTAGCAAAAAGTTTAGATTTAGCTAAAGATAATAACCCTGTATTTTACAGCTCTACAGAGGACACTGTCAAAAAGTGGTCTGAAATTGTTCATAGCATATTTACTGATTTAATTGAAATGATTTCACTATATATTCCAAAGCTTTGACTGCTTATTAAAGCTCCTCTATATGAAGTTCTTAATGTAGTTTAGACTGTAGTCCTGAAGAAAAGGGCATGACCCGAGTTGTATTTGGGGTCTGATCTGATTTCTCTCCAGATGGAGAGTTGTATGAGGATATAGAGGGGTGTTTATATGCTCAACCAAATGAATGTGTGGT